ATATGGCCGCTTTATGTATAGGCATGGGTGCACACATTTGAAGTCCTACTACAACCTTTTTCTTTACTCTTATTTTAGCTCGAACTTTGCATTCAAGCTTTCCTCTGTGCTGCTCCTCAGCAATACGCCATGCATCACGTCTCCTCATGCTCCAGTCCATTCACTAAGTTTTGTGATCACTATTCACCCACTCTCTGCAGTTCTACCTCTTATGTACATAGTGATTAATTTAAAAAAAGGAAGAAAAAAAAAAAGGAAGGGAAGATATTTATCCATTTATTTATACATTTTAAACAAAGAGGAGAAGAAATGGGAAACTAATGCAAAACTGGCACCAAGCATTGAGAAGAACAATGGATATGAACTACAAAACTAATTCATCGACAACCAATAAAAAAAGTTCAGAAACTATCGGGATCATTAGATGGGGGTTATTTGGGTTATTTTACCTACTCAAAGAACACATTTCTTTATGCCAGTTTGTAACACAGAAAGTGACATTTATATACAGTAGTAGTTTATGTTCCATTCTCTTCAAAGTATCTTAAACATGTTGGGGTTTTTTTTTTCCTCCTTTAAAGACAGACTGGAGCCTGAGCTCAGAAGTGCTCTATCAGCAGTTCCACTTCAAGCCCAAGTCATTCTCAAAACACCCGATTCCACACATTTTTCTCCCCTCTATCCTGCACAGCTTTAGCACAAAGCCACGACCTCGCTTGGCACAAGAAGCCGAGGACGTAACTCTCTTTTCCCCAAAGCACCAGGAGCATTGAGAGAAAGTAAATCCTCCTCCTCCATAGTGATCCCTATGTTATAGGTGCCTTCATAGGCTTTTCTTATACCTAAACCCATCCTCCAACTTTAAACTTTTATTTCTTCAGCTCCTTCCTCCCATCTTGTAAAAGCTCTGTACAAAAAGCTCGTAAGTGAAGATGCCTTTAAGAAAAGTTCACAGCAGACAACGTGGCTGAAACCACCGGTTCAATGAGCCGAGCTCCACGCAGCAGCACAGACCCCCCCAGTTCTGTTGGGCCCCCCCCTTCTCCTTGCTGAACAAGTGCCCCTTCTCAGAGTCGCACACATTTGGTGGGAGTTGTTTAGTCAAAATTTTGAATCAGTCTTCTTAGCTCACAGCACTACCAGTTAATTTTTTTCAAACAACTAAAGGGCAAGATAAAAATCTAGTTATAATAAAAAATTAGAAAAAGATATGAAGTGGGACCACAGGCCAAGATAAGACAGGAACTTCAAAGATTCTGAAAAGAATACTCATTGTAATTTTTAATTTCTTATGTTGTGCTCATTCTCATAATTAACACTATTTAAATTATTATTTATGCAAATCTTTAGTCTTACCTAGCCTTCACAGAAACTCAATCACAGAACATAGATTCATTCATCACACGTTCAACTATCGACAGAAACACGTTAACATTAATTTTATATGAGGCTGATTCGACAGCTACTTTAGTTTAGTGTACTATGTATTTTATTAACTGGTAAATTTCTGTCGAATGATTTAATAATAGCCAGGGTAGTACATGAGAAGGTTCTGTTTTAATTTGGGATGTGCTTTAGAGCTCTTCCTATTTGAAGAAATATATTTTAACATAACATACACTAGATATATATTAATACGTATACACACAGATTTATGAAAGTATATCTGTAGTACCTAGCTGTATAGAGCATTAATTTACAACCATAAAGAAATGATGCTTCTTGATGTTCCTGTGCCTTTGCAGCCTTGCCATTATGCTCAAGACAAAAGCCATTTGCAGCTGCAGTGTTAAAATAGCAGAGTAGCGTTCAAATACTCAGAGGAATGGAAGCTATATTTCAACTTGTCCTTCCAAGATGAGTGGTAAATGCAGAGAAAGGCAAGTTACCAGTAGCTTTCAACATTACTTTAATCAACAGCTTCAAGAATTGGCAAAGGTAAGCCTCATTTATTGAGCACAGGTTGTAAGAAAGATCTACACCAAAACAATACTGAAATTCTTGCAATTCTTATAAAAAGAAGAGTTTCAAAAGTCACCAGTGTTGCCATACAATTCTAGCAAAGTTATCTTAATTACTATTATGCCCCCAAACGGAAATTTGTAGTATGAAACTTGGATTATTTTAGTGTTTCTTTTATGGAGAGACTTCCTTCTGCAAAATCATTTTATAGTGTATGGTGGTGGTGCTGCACCTTTATGTTTTTTGAATATCCAATTCCATTTTTCTTAACTATTACAGTATGAAAATGAGCTGCTTCTGTTGTTTTTGCAAGAATCTTTTTAAACATTAATTATTGGAATAAAAACAAATAAACAAAAGCAGAAACAAAAAAATTTCTAGCAATTCTTTTATGCCAAACTGCAGCTAGAAACAAATTTGAACTTTGATCCTGCAAGTTTTTTACCTGTTCTCAGTTTGAGACCACTTAGTAGTCCTTTCAGTTTCAGTGGGATTTTATGAAAACATAGATAAGCACTGCCAGGAATGGGACTTTAATCTGGTGCATCTTAAATCCTACAGAATGGACATGAAATGATCAGATTAAACAAAAAACAAACAAAAAAAAACCCCAACAAAAAAAAGAAAGTTCCTCTTATTCCTAACCTGTTTTTTAACTTTTTATTTAATTGAGAGACTGTTAAGGCTACTTCTGCAAATCCAAATGCTATGTAGCTATACCTGAAATAACTTTAATCACAAGGAGAAGCAGCATACATAAGCAATGAGATGCATCACAGAACTGCTTTAAGTATCTTCAGCAGCTTACTCAGAGCCAGCTCGGATGCACCAACTCAGCGCTGGATACTGCAGAAGTATTTAATAAGAATAGGTCTTAGGGTCTCTAACACCAAGCGTGTAACTGAGGTAGTGACATTACAAAACCTCTTCCTTGTGAAATCCGTTCTAGGACCTTGTTTTTAGCTCAAGGCACTGGGATATTTTCACTCCTGTAAGATCACTATTAAAAACCCCACCCTCAGTTCAGAAATATCTCCTCACCCCATCCCCCAAATGCTTTTTAAAAGCTTTATACTTATGCGGCGTGATGCAGACGTGGTGGTTAAAGTCCTACGTGTGTAAGATTCAATGGCTAAACAAATGTGTGAACCACCACCACCACGAGATGCGTGCTCAGTTCCACTCCAGCTCCAGCAGAACCAATCCGAGGTGGCAAATGGGGGATGTCCTTCGAAATTTGTAATAGTACTCAGCAGGAGCAGGGGCTGGATAATCAACATCTTTTGCAAACACTATGGACCAGCCACAATTTAATGAGAATAAATTTCAGCCAGAGTAGGAGATTCTAAGCCACCAAATTCCATACGTTTTGGTTGTTTACGGAAAAAGTGGTAAATGTTCCAATTGGGTTTGGGCTAGCAGGCAAGGGTACTAATTAAGGAATGTCAGAATAATTTTTTAATATAAACCAGGAAATTTCACCTATTCCATCTAGAGAAGAAAAAAAAAAAAAGATGGCTTTAAGTTTAGAATATAAATACAAACATGTTAAGGGAAAAATTAACAGAATTAAAATGTATCTGATTTAAGACAGATTGATGGTATATCTGATTCTTTTTAAATGACAGATTACAGTACGTCTATAGCAGGAAAAGAATTCCATCACTAATAATAAATCACGTACGGAAGTTACAGGAAGACTGAAACATTGGTGGATAAACATTCTAGTGTGTCCGACATGGCAGGGAAAGGAAAGAGGTATCACACATAAACCTTGATAATGTAGCTGCTGTCATAGGTGAAGCCTACGGGGCTATAGTTTTGCACGAGGTAAGGACCCTAATGCAGTCATAGCCATTCTATCTTTATTTCTTAAATACTGAATAAATTGAAGTATGCATTTAAGGCAAAGTAATTTTCAGAAAAAATGTTTGCAATAAAATAAGAATACTTATAATCAAATAAATGTTAAAATAGATTGTTTTCAAAGGGTTGGTGTACTGAAGCTTTAACTAAAGAGGAAAACATCTGCACTTAGATAATCCAGAACAATCACATATTTTCTCAGCTAATTACTTAAGAGGATAGTTATTAGGTATCATTATCACCTTTCATTTCAATAGGGGAAAAAAATACCTGTACTAATACAATCCTGCCTACAAATATCTGTAAGTATGGACTCATCTTATAAAATAAACAAGATAATTACCATTGACGAATAGAGACAGCAGAAATCAACGTTCCCATAAAACAGATGACAGTTTGGAGTAGCTAAAATTACCCCCTTTAAAAGATATAAAATGAGTCCAATGATTTTCATGCTGCTTAGGAAACTGAATGACAGCTCAGAAGATGTTTTCACTAACATGGAATTTCAGACATTATTTTTTACAGCAGTGCAGTTGTTTCCTTTTACTCATATAAATATTTTAAACAAAAAATTCCATGGGTGAATTAAACTGCTTACCTTTGAGCCTCGCTCATTAAAAATAATTTCAACATCTAAGATTTTACCAAATTGCTGCAAAGAAATAGAAAAGTTACATGAAAATAAGATAACTTCAACACTTCTATCATATACAGCACAAATGTTTGTTTCAGAAAACGGTGCACCACATTAAAAAAGTTAAAGAGTATAAAAATCAAAGATAGTCAAGCACCAAAAAAGACACACTGAAGAGGAGCCACATCAATATTACAACTAAACTGTACATATCATTATATTTGTCACTATCATTCCATATATGCACGTCTGAAGTTTAAGTTCAGTGAAACCACCTAACAAAGAGGAAATCCTCATTAAACTGTGATCACAGTGAAGTGAAAGTCCCAAATTTCTTTTATTTATTTTGGCTTTGCACATAGTAGGTTACTTCCTTGTGATCCATCCAGTCCAGCTGCCATCACCATTTTTTTCATATGTAATACGCTACTGGGTTACTTCGCTTGGAGGGTAATAAACATCACTAACAGACAGGATTAATGGCTGCGTGGACATTGCTGCCCTCTGGTCATCCTGCCCTCTGAAGAACATTTCTTTCAGAAGACTTTTTGCAGCTGCTTTCCAGGACAGGTAAAGGAGTTTGCTACGATGAAACCAGCTGGGAGTTTTGTTGCTGGCTTCAAGGAGCAAGGATTTATCTCCACCCTTGCTGAAAAGGGATAACCATTACTCCCTAAGCAATTCTTGTCTTACTAGAGTAGAATTTGGAAAACTAGAATGGATACTTACTTGTTGGGGATTTTTCCTTGCTCAGAATTGCAGTTTTATTATAATATTAGTAGTAACTGTTATTACTGTTGACCTTACAACAGCACTCACAATCATCCCAAACAAAAAGGCTCTATTGGACTCGTCTTAGTAAGAGAAGAAATGTTTGACACGGGCAGTGTTTAGTTAGAACACTTTCGGACATGACACATTTTGTGATGTGACACTGTAATGTATCGGGGGTCATTTCTGTTATTTCATATGGCATTAACATGCAGTATGGATCAGTGTTAACACCAATAAGTGACATAATATATTAAACAAAAAAGCAGAAATTAGAGGCAGGCACACGAAGAGTAATCTAACAAGAGCCCAAAGAACTGCAGAAATGAGCCTATACCCCAATCTTTTAAGAGACAGGAAACAATTACAGGCCAAGAAAGGACAGTATTCCCTCTCTAGCTTATTAAAGTGTCTCAACTTAGTTATGAAAAATCAACCATCATTTGTTATCCCTTGGCTTATTTTATGTTCTTGTATTCACCATCTAATTAATGTTTTAACTGCAACTTTAGCCTATAAGCAGACATTGACTTAATGTTTAAACAATCCTCCTCTGCTGTATTTATGTCCATGTAAAAAGATCATCCGCTATGCGTATAACGTGGTCATGGTGCAACGTTATCATATTTCACATCAGATATTTAAACTCAGACTTCCAAGAATGTCATTTTTCTATCAATTCAGAAGCTAAAAAGTTTACTGTCATTCTAAAGCTGGAAAACTCCAGCCATTCTCTAGTATTAGTCTTCTGAGACCTAAGACTTAGAAACATTGAAAAGAAATGTAGTTTTTATTCACTTCTAAATTACTACAATCCCTCAAAAAAAATTCCTTTCATTTAATGTACTTTCAAATAAAATCCATTTATTATAAGTGTTTTGTTTAATTTAAATAAATTTGCATATTTTTCTCTAGAGGGTTAATTATTATGCCTTCTGATATTTTGCTGATGAGCTGTAAGCTGCATTTAGGGGAGGTTACTTGTAGCAAGTCAGATATGGCAAAACAGTCACTCTCATTTCCCAATACTATACCAGGACTCTTTTTCCAGCAACTGTTTCCTTCACTTCATAGAAATAAATACTGAAAAACACAATGTCTTAATCCACATACAAAGACATTAGAAGAACTTAAAAATCTGAACTGAACATGAAAGATGGAGAGAAGTACAGTGCCATGAAGTACTTGATGCTGCACTGTACAACAAACCGTAACGTGGGAGAGAATTCAATTTTAGTGAGTCAGAAATAAGAAAGCAAGAGGAGCACAAATACTTAAGAGTACTAACTTGGAAAAGGAAAAGTTGGGGTCTAATAGCTGATCAGGTACTATTTCTAGATTTTATTTAGTGACATTTCAAAATAAACCTAAGAGTTCTTGGAGCAGGGAGAAGAAACCAGATCTAACCTCTCACGGTTTTGAACCTAGAATTGATGGCACTGATGAGATGTGTAAAACATAGCCAATGCACATGAAGGTAGCTAATAGCCTGGGCAAACACAAAAATTGAGAGACTTATAGAAAAATATGGGTAAAAACTTTAGAAGCTTAGAGACCTACAATATCTGGGGGGGCTTTCTGCTTAAATTCAGCCCACGTCTTTCATTCTATAGATTTGAGTCCCTTGCTCGTGAGATCAAGCGTAGAATATTTTACATCATGCTCTCCAAAATCAATAAAAACAGGCATATAAATCCACATGTGTACAGCAGGAA